GGGAACATCCCCAAAATTAACGGGATTGGGAAAATCCAAAAAAATTAACGGGATTGGGATTGGGAACATCCCCAAAATTAACGGGATTGGGAATTCCCAAAAAATTAACGGGAATGGGATCGGGAAAATCCCAAAAATTAACGGGATTGGGATTGGGAACGTCCCCAAAATTAACGGGATTGGGATCGGGAACGTCCCCAAAATTAACGGGATTGGAATTGGGACTGGGAGCCCGGAGCTGCGGCCTCGGCGCGGGAACGGGAGCTGAGCGCGGCCGCGCGGGCGGCTCCGGTCACCTGAGAGAATTCCCCAAAAATTAACAGGATCGGGAATGGGAGCCCAGAGTTGCGGCCTCAGCGCGGGAACGGGAGCTGAGCGCGGCCGCGCGGGCGGCTCCGGTCACCTGAGAGAATTCCCAAAAATTAACGGGATTGGGATCGGGAACGTCCCCAAAATTAATGGGATTGGGAAAATCCAAAAAAAATAACGGGATTGGGATTGGGAACATCCCCAAAATTAATGGGATTGGGATTGGGAAAATCCCAAAAAATTAACGGGATTGGAAATGGGAACATCCCCAAAATTAACGGGATTGGGAATTCCCAAAAAATTAATGGGATTGGGATTGGGAACGTCCCCAAAATTAACGGGATTGGGAATTCCCAAAAAAATTAACGGGATTGGGATCGGGAATGGGATCGGGAAAATCCCCAAAATTAACGGGATTGGGATCGGGAATGGGATCGGGAACAGCCCGGGAACTGAGAGCGGCAGCTCGGGCCGATCCTGTCACCTGCGGGATTGGGAATTCCCAAAAAATTTAACGGGATTGGGATCGGGAATGGGATCAGGAAAATCCCCGAAATTAATGGGATTGGGAACCTGGGAATGGGATTGGGATCTCTGGGAATGGGATTGGGAACTGGGGAATGGGATTGGGAACTCTGGGAATGGGATTGGGAACCCGGGAATGGGATTGGGAACTCTGGGAATGGGATTGGGAACTCTGGGAATGGGAATGGGAATGGGATTGGGAACTCTGGGAATGGGATTGGGAATGGGAATGGGATTGGGATTGGGAATGGGATTGGGATCTCTGGGAATGGGATTGGGATCTCTGGGAATGGGATTGGGAACTGGGGAATGGGATTGGGAACTGGGGAATGGGATTGGGAACTCTGGGAATGGGATTGGGAACTGGGGAATGGGATTGGGAACTCTGGGAATGGGATTGGGAACTGGGGAATGGGATTGGGATCTCTGGGAATGGGATTGGGAACTCTGGGAATGGGATTGGGATCTCTGGGAATGGGATTGGGATTGGGAATGGGATTGGGAACTCTGGGAATGGGATTGGGAACTCTGGGAATGGGATTGGGAACTCTGGGAATGGGATTGGGAACTCTGGGAATGGGATTGGGAACTCTGGGAATGGGATTGGGAACTCTGGGAATGGGATTGGGATCTCTGGGAATGGGATTGGGAACCTGGGAATGGGATTGGGAACTGAGCAGGCAGCTCCCATCACCTGAGGGAGAGGGAAAATCCCAAAAAACGGGATTGGGAACAGAAATAAACGGGATCGGAACCAGAAACGGGGCCAGAGCCCCTGAAATGGGATTGGGAACCCCAAAAAATGGGATTGGGAACCCCAAAAATGGGATCGGGAACCCCAAAAATGGGATCGGGAACCCCAAAAAATGGGATTGGGAACCCCAAAAATGGGATTGGGATCCCCAAAAATGGGATCGGAACCCCAAAAATGGGATCAGGACCCCAAAAAATGGGATTGGGAACCCCAAAAATGGGATCGGGAACCCCAAAAAATGGGATCAGGACCCCAAAAAATGGGATTGGGAACCCCAAAAATGGGATTGGGAACCCCAAAAATGGGATTGGGGACATCAGAACCGGGATCAGGACACCCCAAATTTCCGTGAGAACCAAAAATCCCCCGGGGAACCCAAAAAAATCCCGGATTTGGGGCCACAAATTCCACCTGGGACCCCCCAAAATCCCCTCAGGTCCCCCAAAATCCCCCCAGGACCCCCCAAAATCTGCTCAAAACCTCCCAAATTCCACCTGGGATCCCCTAAATTTCCCTTGGGACCCCCCAAAAT